GCTGTTGTGATTAGGAATGAAGAGAAGGATGGAGCCTCCCTCGTGGCCTACGGGTTGTGTCTAGCACTATCAGCCTGAGTTTGACCCCCAGCCAGGGAGCTGATCCACATGGAAAAGCAGACCTCTCCTGTCTCACCCTCTGCCCCCTCAGCAGTGTTTCAGTAGATCTCCTTATTCTAGTCCCCACTCTGTCTCCAGTGAATCCTCTCAACCCTGCACCTCTGGCCTGCACACCAGTTCTTTTATGCAAAAAATAAATAAATAAAACCTTTTTTAAAATGAGGGAAAGGAAACATTAGTGATCCATTCATATTTCTGGTAAGAGCACACATCTATTCATTCCTGGTGTGATTGAATGAACATAACTCACACCCTACCCAAAACCTTCCCTGTTCCCAACCACAGACTGGCTAATATTCTAAGTAGACACTAGTTTTAATTAAGAAGGAAATAACTGCCTGGAAGGAGTTGGGATTAGCAAAGGGAAAAGAAATTGATCATTCATATCAACCTTTAATTACATATCTGCAGTCAGAATCCATTCAGTTTTACAAAATGCTTTACACCAAAAATATTAAGTCATTTAATCATAATGATAACTCCAGGACTTTATTTATGGTTGAGCGAATTGATATGTGAAGAGATTTATCATTTTGTCCAAGATCACATGCCTCTTACATGGTAAGGTTTGAACATGGCCTTCCCTTTGCTGTGTGGGGAGTTTAGATTTTGTCTTTCCCTTGTTTTGGTCCTAAAAACAAGTGTGCTGTTTATACATTAGCAGTTTTCCAGGTTCTCCACTATTCTTTCCATGTTTCCTACTTCTGAGATGATGGCAAATAAGCTTTCTACAAAGCTTTGCTCTCCTTTGATACTGGCTGGCATCTTTCCAATTTTTACCTTGACTTGAGACGTCTCCATTAGCTCACTTTAGAAATGAGATGTGAAATTCAATGACTGGTATACTATACCAGTGACTTGCATACTATAAAGCATTCAAGGTTTTGGTTGAAGCATTAATATATGTCTTCAGTTTCAGTGGTGCCTTTCTGGTAATTGCTTGAAATATTTTAATGGTTAATTATTTCATCATCTGAGTATCTCACTTTCCAGATAAAACTTGCCACCACCTCCAAATCCCGGGTAGAATATGACTGAGCTATACCCCACCTCTAGATGCCTTAAAGAGCAAATGCCAAGGCTCTTTCATCACCCACATGAGATATAAGAGCAATGATGTTATCCCAGGTACTAAGAGTGTTATGCTGTTCTTTCCTACCAGTTTAGCTTCTAGAGGACAGAAATCTTATTTGTTTTTGTTGTCCAAATATCCAAGAACCCATTGAGTGATAAGCAAATATTTGTTGAACCAATCTCAATACTTCAAATTCAGTCTATGGTAGACTTTTAATAAAAATTCTACTCATAGACGCAATCTGGTGTCTGCGGAAGTGCCGCAGCAATTCATAATACTCCAGAAGGTAGGAAAGCAGTGGCAGCTTGTTTACATGAGCCTTGCTTGACAAAAACACTTCTCAGAGATTACCTTCAAGTGGAAGAAATTTTTCTGCTCCATGTCATGCCATCAATAAGGCAGATCACATTGTATGGGCTGTGCACCTTGAGGCTGGATTCTGAGTGGTTGTTATTGAAGACAGTCAATGATTACCGATACAAACATATTGGGTATCCTTTTTTAAATGAACTCACTTTCTAGGAAAATGTTTGTTCAATAAAGCCCTTGTAGGAAAGTGTCACGTACATTGACTTAATGAGGGATCTTGTCTCATTCCCTCCTGTAGGGATTGATAGAACACTGCCCATGAGAATTTATAAGTTCTCAAGCCCCAAATGCTGAATAAATGAGGAAGAAAGGACAGGTTGTCCAGAATCCTTCTTATTAGGTATAGGAAAGCAGTGAATGCATCAGGGAATGCTGATTTAGCCTCACAAACAGGGCAACGTCTGTTTTTAAAGTGAGAAGATCTAATAAGGAGTCATTTTATCAGACACACACAGCTGAGTCTTGTTTGGCGAAAGGAAGCTTTCTGCATTATCTCAGTCACTCTCAAGAAATAGAGGGCGGATCAAATTTAGTAAACAGGCTTCCTCAGAAGTTAGCTCCCAAGATAGGGTTTTGCAAATGTGTTAACTTGCCTACCTTTTCCCTACAAGGACTATTTTAATTAACTTAATGATTGAATGAGTATATGATCTGAGACATAATGTGAGCTCCCATGAGTGTGTGATTAGTTCACTCCAAATTCTAAGAAATTAAGTTCCCCTATACACTAAAAAGATACCAAACCCCCCTAGCCTGCACCATGGGACCCCAGTGATCCAGCGTATACAGGTCCCGGTAGATGAGTCACTAAAATTTCACTTAAACCAGCTGATGTATCACCAACTAAGATTCAGGCATGAGATTCAGTCTTCTCGCTTCAGCTGTGCAAAGGGAAAAGTTCAACTGTTTGTCAAAGCACATCCCCAGGTAGATGCTGTTGAAATCTCTCATTTCTTCCTGTCTTCGAAGCTCACCTCTACATTGGAGCTCCTCTGGCCACAGACTCACAGACATGAAAGGCTTCTTTAAGTAAACACGAGTCCCACAAGGCCTTCTTCTGCATTCTTAACACTGATTTATCACCGTTGCAGCTGCTCAGTGTTTTGCAAGGCAGTGCTTCCTTTTTTTCCCTTCTTTCTTTACTTCCCTTCTTCGTAGTCCCTGTTTGGAAAAAAATAAAAATAAATAAAAAGCTCTGTATTTTAAGTGTTTTAGATTCAGCAGCTATAAATGTTTCCAGGCTTTGGATAACACCACCAGCACTAGGAGAGAAAGAGCTTAGAACAGCTGTGAGGCAGAACTTCAAGAAAAGGAAAAGGAAAACATTGTTTTTGAGATGGTCACCAAACATTCTCTCTCAGAATCAGCCCCATTTGTATCAGGAATCTGCTTTGGCGGAATCCGAAGGAAAAATGCTTCCAATTTCCTAAGAGAAGTAAGATCATCTTTTCTAACTGTAAAGGCACTTAAGTTACTTTCTGGGAACACTTATAAGGAAAATAACTCTGGGAATGGTGTGTCTATCAAGGGTTATTAGGGAGATTTCAGGAGCGGGAGAAGACAGAAGGACCCAGGCCCAAAAGCGGTGGGCATCTCCTGGAAGGTTTTTTTTTTTTTCTTAGATTTATTTATTTGTGCATACAGAACTGGGGTTCAGGGGCAGTGAGAGGATTCACCAGAGACAGAGTGGGGAGCAGAACAGGCCGACTGATAAAGTGCACTGCTGAGGGGAGCAGCGGGCGGGTCAGGAGAGGTCTACCATGCTGTGTGATCACCTCCGGGGCAGGCGGGGATCGAACTCATGCTGAAGGGGCTTTAGCTTCTTAGTGCTGTGCTTTAACCCGCTGTGCAACCGGCAGGGCCCTGGAAGGTCACTTTTAATCCAGAATTATTATATTTCTGAGATCGAGGAAGGGAAAGATTGCTTTGGCCTCCATGGAATCAATCAGGCTGACTTTTCTAAACCTCCTGCTGGTAAATGCTGTGCTTTCTACTTGATTCTGGGGCCATTTGTGTGGGTGGGAGATGAAGGTCCTCCAGAGACCCTCTCCTACCCTTGAAGTATTTCCCCCATGGAGTATGCCTTCTCCTTTATTATCTGAGTTCTTTGAAAGCAGAAAATGAAGAAAACATGGAGGCCACCTTACCTGGTGACAAATCGCTGGAGTAGAATTCACCACCCTCTTAATTCACTTATAAAGATGGAGTGCTATTTGTGCATGATTACCAGAGCCTAATTAGTGATGCACTGAAATGAACATGACACAGTAAAATACTAGCCACCTTCCCAGAAAGGAGATCTGGGAAGCCCCTTCACCTCACCTTCATAGTGACTTTATTGACAGTCTTTTTCCATGTAGAGCTTTGTCACAGACTCAAAGTCAGCCCTTCAGACATTGGAGCTATTCAGTGCATGCCTCTCACTAGCTTTGAGACGTTGTAGGTAATGAAGTTTCCCTTCACCAGTGGAAATGACTAATTTATTAGAGTCCTTTGAGGTGGAAAATAGCATGTAGATAAAGGAAAATCCATAGATGCATTCTACAAAGACTTTAAAATGCACTGTTGAAAATGTTCCACACCAAGAGTTACCAATAAATGTGAAAGCTATATTTCTGGGATGGGGGAGTACTCTTTTATCTCAGAAAGTGAACCAGCTTACGAGATAAAAATAAAATGCTGAGAATACACAGGATTTTTTTGTGTGTAGAAAGAAATGAGAACAGGGAAAGAGTGAGGTTTCTTGGGGTCAATGTTTTCATGGATTATGTTTAACATGCTTACTCCATGATGTTGACGAGCATCATAATGTTGATTGATATAGGTCAGACTCGCTCCTAAATATTCTAATTCGGTAGGTCAGAGGCGTGATACAGAGATCTGTGCTTTCGAATCCAACCGTTTTACAATCACAGCTTATTTGCGAGGAATTTTACGTGCCTTAACTCTATTTTTTTTTTTCGCTATAGCAATCTCTGGAGATTTTATGCTTATAATATCTTTTTTAAAAAATCAGGAAATAGAGGCACAGAGCAGGTAAACACTTTCTCTGAACCACACAGTAGCTGACAAAATAATAAAAATGGGAGGAGTGTTCTGTTGTGACTTAGAAGAAAATGGACAACACTTCTGCATTTTTATAAAGTTTTTTATAAAAGATTTATTTATTTATTTATTTATTTATTTATTTATACAGAACTGGGGTACAGCCAGAGGTGTAGGGGAGGTGGAGGATTCACTAGAGACAGAGCCGGGAGCAGAACAGACAGATCAATGAAGTAAAGTGCTGAAGGGAGCAGCAGGCAGGTCAGGAGAGGTCTACTGCACCATGTGGGTCACCTCCAGGGTGGGGGATCGAACTGGCACTGAAGCAGCTGCAGCTCCCTTGCAGTGCTACATCCTAACCCTTTGCACCAGCAGGGAGGGCCCCCATTTCTGCATTTTTCTGCAAGTGCCCCTTCTGTCTGCAGAAACTCTCCAATCATCCTGAAGCACAGTGACTGCCGGAGATTCAAACCACTCTACTTATTCCAGAAATAATGGAATAAGGAAAGCAAAGGTGAATTCATTTTCAATAGAACACCTAAAGAAGAAGAAATGACAAAAAGAGAAGTTTAATGTCACATGCCTATAATGTAGAGGATTAGAACCTAGTTTCAGTAGTGAACAGATATCAGTCATAGAATTAGCAGCCAGAGCAAAGCAACTTTGGAAGCTCTCTATTTGACAAAGGGAGAGACAGGCATCTTTGTTTTAGGTAAACATGTCTTCTTTCTTCATTGACAGTCATAGAAGAACAAAGGTCACCTAAATTAAAAAAGGAGAAATGCCAAAAGAGAGATTTAATATGATGCATCACAAGTTAGGGCAGGTGAGATCAAGACTGAATAGAGTTGTCTTGATTTTTTAGCAAGCCTCCCATCTTCTCCTAGAGATAGCAAGGTACCAGGAGGTAGAAAACAAATGTAAAGCCACAGTATTAAAGTATTATTTCACAGTGACTTCCATTAAGCACACTCAGTTTGTGCCACAGCCTGCTACGGGAAAGCTACGAGTTAACAAGACAGAAACTTTCAGCTATAGGATTTCCATTTATTAATGAATGAATATTGCTGTAGTATTAATCATCTTGGTCTTGACTCTCAACATCATGGAGGTGTTTCATATGATATCCTTCCTTGCCAGTAAGATCAGAGACATAAAAAACAAGGACAGTGACTTTTGCTGTACTTGGTCAGCTAGCAAAAACTGGACATCGAGAATTGAATTGTACAGATTAAACCAATTTATCCTTCACTTTCTCTTTGTCTGGCTTTGTGATCCAAAAGGTGATGTATTGAATTCTGCAATATTCAATTTAAGATTTCAGTTCTTTCATCTGATTGCCAAAGATAATGAGAGAAAAATGCCGCCTAAGTAAATATATCACATATTGATATTGTCTTCAGATACACATATATTTTCAAAAAGACAAGTCTTGTCCTCAATTATGTTTGAGAATCATAACATTGTACTTCTAAGCATCTAAAAGTGATGAGTACTGTTCCTGGAATTAATTTCCAATTTCTACTAAATTGTAGAAATAAAAATCTAAGACTCCTCCACAAATAAGAACTTTGCGCCCTAAACCTTTCAAAGAAATCCCAGGTTCCATCACATAGTATACTATTTTTATTCCAATGCCTATTAGTTAAAGAAAACATGGGCATTGACTTGTGTTTAAAAGAAATAAAAGGATACAGGAATAACTCTTCCTGTAATGCACAGATTTGCCAGTTTACCAAAGAAATAAACAATTTGCAAATTCAGCATGATTGTGTGTTTGCAAAGCATAGCGGGTTTATTCTAAAATTCTCGCACCTGGAAAAACTGAACTTAAGCATCTTCAGCCATCGAAAAGCAACTTTGTGTTCTTCCCAACAAATCTCCTCACCCTTGTAGTAATCATAAACTTGCAGGAGTGGGACTGGGTGGTGGTGCCGCTGGCATTTGTGAAAGCTCTGATGTAGAAACTGCGGCTAGAGAGCTGGGCTCTGGGGAATAGACGTGGAGAGGAACTGAAAGGCGTCTAGAGAAAGGGCTGTCATATTTGCTCAGAAGAACCGCCAAATCAGAGAACAGACAAGATTTCATTGGAGGAGCGCCTTCACCAACAACTAATCCTGTCATATTGAAAGAAAATTGTAAATGTTCTCTCCAGAAATTATCCGCCCTTTGCAGCTAATCGAACACACACACGCACCGACACAGACACGCTCTCCTGGTCTTGCAAAGGCGCCCAGGCGCGGAGACCTGGCTCTCTCAGTAGAGAGCGCGCGGGGGCGCAGACGCGCACACACAAACACACACGCACATGAACACACTCACACTCTCTCTCTCACACACACACACACCAGCCTGCGGGTTGGCCAGAGCCTTGCAATCACAGATCCCTAGTTGCAAGTAGCCAGAGACACCTAAGCAGGTGTCCACTAATCACTACTTCCCCCAAGCACTTCGGCGAAGAAACGAACCGCGCCGGGTCGGTCCATCCATCCAGATTTTTGTTCCCTTTTGCTCTCCAGCTTCATCGTCTTAGTTAAAGCCAGGTTGGAAAGTCCTGTTTGCTTCTGCTTTGGCGGCTCGTGGGGGAGGGCGGGGGCAGCGTCAGTTTTACTCCCGCGGCGCCCGCGCCAGGAGGGGCAGGCTCGCCAAGTGGCTGGGACCGACGCTGGCCGAGCGGTTGGGTGAGCGCGCTCGGGTCCCGCAGCTCCCGCCGAGGCTCGGGTCGGTTCTCTCCCCGCCTCCCCCCGCCCCACCCCTCCGGGTGTCGCGGCACCAACTAATCTTTTCCTTTTCTCTCGCAAGATCACGGGAGAAAAGGAGCCGGCGGGCTTCCGACTCCGGCGGCGGGCGGGTCAGCCCTGAACCCGCGAAGAGCTCCTCGCTCCTGCCAGCCTGCAGCTCGCCGAGGCAAGAGCTCAACCCGCGACAGGTAAGGGCGCCACGCTGTCCGCTGCCCCGCTGCGGGGACTCTGGCACGGCGGGTCCTTGCCCGTCCCGGCACCCGGCGCGGAGGGCTCGGAGGTGCACATTCTTCACCGCAAACTTTGGATCCTGGGGTTTGGAGGGCTGGAGGTAGCAATGGCGGCTGTGGAAGGGGCAAAAGAGACACCGCGCGGGGCGGGGGGGCGATGCCGCGGGTCGCCGAGTCCAGTGGAATGTGGCGAAGCCAGTGTGCGGGACCTCGGTGCGTCTGCGGCCGGCTAGCCCCCCCTCGAGCAGCCGCCCCTCCCCCAATCCAGGCGTCCTCGCTGAGAAGCTCGGGAGAGAGCTTCGCCCTCTGCTGCCCCTCGCTGTCCGTCCTGCCTGGGGTCGGGCCGCGGATGGCAGGCTTTAGGGTGGAGGCTGGGCTGGCCTCAGCCCTGCGTGGTCTCTGGGGTTCCAGCCAGTTGCCCAGTTAAGCCTTGCGAGCAGCCCGTTGGGCGCCTGCACTGTTTCCCCTGAGGAAGGCTTAGCGCAGCGTTCCAAGGGCCAAGAAGACCCCTTACCCTTGGTCTTGGGGACTCGAGCGGGAACTGGACTGATGAAGGGGTCCCAAGACAGAGGCTGGGGAAGCCTCTGCCACTCCATCCTATGTCGGCCCGCGTAGGAGATGCGCTCTTTGGCCACCACTGGGGGACAGGGGCTCAGAGCGAAGCTGTGAGGTCTCAGACCTTGCCTGGTTGGGCCTTGGGCTACATAGGCGAGGTTCAGGATCGTAGCTAGGGAGTAGCTGCATCCCACACGTCCTTGGGGTCCGCACCTGCGGACCTGGGAGATCGTGCTCACTTGTGGCTCCTGGAATCCGAGAGAGGTGCGGTCACAGCCCCAACTGGGTAGATCGTGCAGAAATTCCACCTGTGCGCTCACCCCTGCGCCCCTGAGGTGCTCCTGGCAGAGCAGAGGGGAGTGCCCAGCTGTTCTTGCAGAGGTGAAGATCTCCTGCTTCCCCCCTCCAAAAAAAAGCGACACAAACCCACTGCCTGGACCCCTCCAGCCCAGCTTCTACAGCCTTCCCCCCTCCCCGCCCCTACCCCCTTCTTGAGGATCAGGTCGTAGCCAAATGAGGCTGTTTTAAGCTACAGGATCGTGGCAGGGAGGGCCCTCCGACCTCACCAGTCCCTAGCTATGAAATAAGGCTCCTTTTTGCCTGCACAGAAATAGGTGCTGGATTACTGTCTGGGTGCAGAGAGACAGAGGAGAGCAGAGAAAAGGAGGTAAATGCCTAAGGCAGCCGAAGCTGCCCGCCCACATCTCACCCAAGCGGCCCTCCCGTGTCCTTATGTCAGTTCACGGCCACCGCACGTCTGTGACTCAGGCCACCAAGGCTTTGGAGTCTGCCCGCCCCGGCGCGCCAAGCCAGCAAGAGCACAGGGCTTCCCAGCGCTCACTTTGGAATCCCCCACACTGACTTGCTATTTTCCCCCTCGTCTCTTCTTTTTTTGGTCTGTTTTGCTTTTGCTCTTTTCCCTAGAACTGGATGGTAGTGGGGAAGTGGTAGCCGGCTGTGGAGCTGGGGGGGTCTCCGTACACGCAGCCAGCGATACAAACACCTGTCCCCACGCTCCATTGCACACCCACCTGCACTCTGCATCCCACAGACCCAGGAGCCGGCAGCACATTCTTGAGCCCTGGTCACGGTGGGGGGCCTGGGCTCCGCAGAGGGCCAGGAGGGAGGAGAGCACAGCCAGCCCAGCTCCAAAGAGAAACCCTGCAGGGGCCAGCAAAGGTCTGTGGATAAGCTCGAAAGTGGGTTGGGGGTTGGGGAGCTCAGTTCCAGTTGTATTTGGTGGCCAGGGTGAGGATGCCCCACTTGCTCAGTCTGGCAGCAAACAGAGTCTCAGGTCAGAGCCCATCAGATGCCGGGTCTAGGGGGACTAGCACCTCACTTCACTCCAGACAGTTCTGGCTAAGGGATGGAAATGTTGCTGAAAGGGAGCCAGCTCCCAAACCCCAGGTGTCAGCCTGGCTGGGTGCAGCGGGCAGAGTGCGCTGTGTTTTCTGGCAATCTGAGCATACGGTATTCCAACACAGATGACACATATGTAGTCTGCTGTCACCGATAAGCACACGAGGAGACTGCGACACTTTAGAGACGATCCGCAGCCAGGCAGGTCTGGGGGCCCCATCTCTGGGACACAGCAGGGTCCAGATGATCATGGAAGGCAGTGGTTGGATTTGGCCAAGAGACAGTTTCACACTGAGAACTGTATTCGGTTGTGATTCAGAAAGTGAATTTTGGAGATTCTTGTCAAATGGATGGAAGAATTTGGTGCCAACCTTGTGGCAGCTTTGTGGGATCTGGCACCTAATGTCTCAAGAAGCAATAAGTTAATGCCAGATGAAATGTAGTGTTCTTACTATTATTAGCAAATGTTCCAGGGGTGCACTACAGTAGATGAGCCACTTCTATCGACTCTTGTTTGCTTTACTGGGCTAAACAATGATGCCAGTGAAAGAAAACTGAAAAATAAAACTTGACCTTACAAAAGCAGGGCGATGCTAGCCACACCCTCTGACTATTTCAGAACTCAGTGAGTGGGGTGGGGTGGGAGTAGGAGAGAAGCCTTGGGACCCCCAAATTCAAGGAGGGCTTCCAGACAGATGTGTGGCCTTCCTACAAGAGAGAGAGGGAAGTTTATTTTCTGTTGTTTGTCTGTTTTTATGCAGGTGTGGCTGAGGGTACTTAGGGTGAGAAAATAGGTAGATTTGAGTATCTCTATGGGATTTGAAGGTCAAGGCAAGCCAAAGAACAGGCTAGCAGCTCTCAACTGACTTCAGAGCAGATGTGGAAGAGATTAGCAGTCAAACACAAGCAAAAGCCCCTTTGGAACACATTCTCACAGTCTCACCTTTGGAGGGCAGAGGCTGCTATTTTCACACTTAAACGCCAAATTCCTCCCAGTGCCCACTAGTGTGCAGGGGTAAGTTTCTGATGCATATTCCCAGGCAGCCAGCCCCCAGGGCCCAGGAAAGAGGGGCGCACCTTCAGGTGTCTGAAGAGCACAGCTTTGCCCCGCTGCTGGCTGGCATGGAAGTGAGGTGCCCCAATCATGGAGAGGCTGGGCCAGCTCATTGGGGACAACTGTCTCTGACCCACAGCTAGGAAGAAAGTTAAAGCAACTGCACGAGGCTGGAGAGGAAGCGTAGAAATATGGGAAGGAAGAAGGAAAGGGGTTTCTGTGAAGGAGGAGGAGCATGAGATGAACAGCCAGTGGGGTTGTGCAGCCTTTGTCACCAATGCCAGTCTTGGGGTGTGTGGGGTGTGCCTGTGGGCAAGTGCCTGTTGGTGATGGTCAGAGACACTCTTCATCTCATCCCAACCTTTGATATTACTCAGTAGGGTCGACAGATTGGCAGAGGTGCTTTGTCACGTAGTCCCCTTGAAGGATAGGTTTCTTCTCTTAAATCTGAGTTTCAGTTGGTATTTTATGCTGTGGCTTTGCCACTTCCTTAGTGGAGTTCCCCGGCTCAGTATCCTCTGGGTGACTATTGACAGCCCTACCTGTGTTCAATTTGCCTACTCTTAGTAGAGCAGATGTTGAGAGGCTTCAATGGAGCGTCCCAGACCACGAGTACCCAATGCTTATTCCACAACTCAGCTGGTGCTCTGGGTGTGTGTTGATGTGTGTTTGGGGTCGGGGGAGAGGGAGAAAGTGAGAAAGTTGCTTCTCTCTGGAAGTGCCTTTCCTGAGAATATGCTGTCTCTGGCCCTGTCCTATGTACGGTATATGGCTCACATCCCCGTTCTGCCCACATTTTATCTGTAACTACCACCCAAGATCATGCCCACGACATCCTCGAGGCTACTAGAGATTTGGTGACTGAGTGACCAGATATCAGTTTTCTCATTTCTCAGTGCAGTGATCCTATGAATTAGAGGCACTGATGTTCCCATGCTATAGGTGAAGAGCTCACACCAAGGGTGGCGGCTCGCTCAAGACCACACAGCTGTTCTCTCACAGCCCTGGATTCAAACACAAGCTTGGGGGGCCCCATCTTGAGCTCCTGTGGCACCAGTGGGTTCTTTGTGAACAGAGGTGGCTCCAATGCCTTTTTCCTTTTGATTGGGGAAATCAAAAGTGTTCAGAGTTCAGTGATGTTTTCCCCAGCTATTTAATCAATTTTGCATATTCTTGTTAGGTTCCCTGAACCCTCAGCAAGGAAGAGCCAGTGCCAATGAGATTCTTAGTTGGCATAGCATGCTGGTTCTGATTAATCAGTGATTGCTGCTCACAGAGGCAACAAGGCACCAGAAGTACCTGAGGTTTGAGCAGATGACATTTCCACCTAGATCTTTTCTGGAATCTTCTTTTGTCTGAGGCAAACGATGAAAGAAAATGGGTATCTTTCATTTAACTCATCCCAGCTGCGGAAGGGGACGAAGAAGCGTTTCGAACATAGGGCTCTTGATCCAGAACTGCCTAAGAACACACGTACCCCAACTTCTAGATGTTGCCTCTTCACTTTGTCATCCCGAATGAGTTTTTCTTTCTTTATAAAGCTTGCTGGTGCTTAAGGTTCTGAATTTCAACGGCAGCTGTTAATTTTAGTTAGTGTTATCTGCTTTGGCAGATAAAGGGACTTAGTGAAACTACTGTTAGCAGACGTGAGGTAGGTTGGGCTGGTTTTCTCCTTTCAGGATTCACATATTCTTGTTTTCACCTCATTTCCCTTTCCCCCTCCCCCAACATGTTCAAGCTTCTTCTTTTATACTGTGACCTAAATATACAATCATCTTAACTGGTTCTGTTTCCATGGCAATGTTTCATGGTAGATAAGGGTATATACATACTAAAAAATCAGCTTCTTTCATTAGCGATGGAATTCCTTCTCTTCTTCCCCTTTCCCAAATCCTGACAGTCACTGAACGACGCCCTCTGGCGTTCATAAAGGGGAAGCACATTACTTCGGGCGGGACAAGAGCAATTTTTTTTTTTTCAAACTGAGAAAATCTCAATTTCAATTATTATTTGGAACGGACAAAAGCAAGACAGACTTGGAAGGAGTATATTTTTAAGCAAAGAAATGAGCGGAAGACACTCGTTACCTGAGCATATTAAGTGCTCTTTGCTCAGTAAAATTCTAGAAAGTATGGGGAAAAGGGAATATTTGTAAATACATTTATAATGTTGTGAAAACAGTCCTATGGAAGACAAAGCCATTCCATTGAGATATATCTAGGAGAAGGACCTAATGCAATATTCTTTATGTTTAAATCTGAAACTTAGAGTTTGAAGTCTTTTGGCTTTAGAATGAAATGATTTGTCTTTCTGGATGTGGTATGTATTAACATAGATATGTGCTGTTTGTATATATATGTATGTATACACACGTGTATCTCTACATATTCTGTCATGTATAGAATTTGGTTTTTGTTATACAGGAAGAATTTGGAAGCTTTACTTTATAGTACTGTGTGCATTATCAGTCAGCATATTATTATTACTCACAAATTGCATGACAAGTTAGAAGTGAGGCTGATATAATATGCACACGCCACATTCCACTGTCAGCCTCTGATGGTGTCACCATGTCAGATCTATCTTCGAGACTTGTGGAGAAATCATCCCCTCCTCCCCTTCCTCGCGTCTATTTTAGACCTTTAGCATCTCGCATGAATGATCTCCAGAACTTTATGTTTCTTACTGGTCTCCCACATCCCATCTTTCCCTAGTACACTGTATGCCTCTCGCTGCCAGTGACCTTTCTAAAATGCAAAGAAGAGCATGTCATTCTCTTGTTAAAAATTCTCCACTATCCACCATCAACTCTTAAGTCAAACCTGTGCGATATCTTGTGACCAGTCAGAGACTTACTGTCCACCCTTGTCCCTAACAGTCCTTTTCTCATTCCCCCATTTCACTAGGAGATGTTACAAATTAATAGCTTCATGTAGTGATTGCCACAGAATAAATACCAAATGAATATTAGATAACTTGTCTACATTCCCTTTTTTCTTAATTTTCTTCTTCCTCATATTCATCTAATTTATTTGAGTGTAATAATAATAATTAATGATAAGCATTACTCTTACAACAGCCACCCCCCAAAATAATTATAGTGAGAAATCGTATGATGTGGCAGGTATTTTGCTAAATATTTTACATCACTTATCTCATATAATCTCCCACAGTCAGGCACATTGCTTGATATATTCCTGGAACTCAGTACGTATGTGCCATGTATGTTTATTTTGATAGTGGCATTTTGACACTTAATATTCATAGAAAAGTTATTTGGAAGGTAAAAACATCCTGGAAAAGTGCTCTGTGTTAACCATTTTCCCTCGTGCTGGTAGCAAAGCACCCACTGGAACTTGTTAGGGAGGCCAATGTGGTCTGAAATGAGAACAGAAGCTGCACTTTTATAAATGACAATACATGTTTCAAATGTATTAAAAATATGGAGATTTCCACTTTCCTGTATTTTGCAAACATATTGTGCAATGTTGTAAACATACATCCTCTTCACTTTAGTGTATCGAAGAAATTATAGCATGCCGGTAGGCTCAATACTAGCTTAATTCAAATTTCCAAACCAAGAAAAATGTGCAACCGCAACAAAACTGAAGATCTATACTTTTATGATGAGTGAAAAGGAATAGCAAGTATTATGATAGCAGGGCAGTATTTTGGAGTTATCTGTAATCATTGCGTTCAGAAAATCAGGGGGTATTTTTTTTTTTTCCTGAGGCTGTGTATTCTGTCTACCCTTGAATGCTGATCACATGGGAGACCAGGACTCATATGTCAGTCACTATCATAGTCATCACAAAGAGTGCTTTTTTTTTTTTAAAGATTTATTTATTTGTGCATACAGAACTGGGGAATATCCCAGAGATACAGGGGCAGTGAGAGGCTTCATCAGAGACAGAGTGGGGAGCAGATAGAAAGGGAAGAAGGTATACCCATGTTTGTTGCAATTTTTTTTTTAAAGATTTATCCATTTATTTATACAGAACTGGGGTACAGGCCAGAGGCTCAGGGCGGCGAGAGGCTTCACCAGAGACAGAGTGGGGAGCAGAACAGGCAGATCGACAAAGTATACTGCTGAGGGGAGCAGCGGGCGGGTCAGGAGAGGTCTGCCGCGCCATGTGGTCACCTCCAGGGCAGGTGGGAATCGAACTCATGCGGAAGTGGCTTTTAGCTTCTTAGTCCTGTGCTTTAACCCACTGCGCCACCAGGGAGGGCCCATATACAGTGCTTTTGAATGACAAAATTGAATTAGTAAATTTACAGCTGTCTTCTAAGACATCTTTTTAAAGATTCATTCACAAGTTGAATACTTGAAATATCCTATTCCTCTTACAAAGATTTTGAGTTTGCAGGTTTGGGATCAGACCCAGGAATTTGTAGTTCTACCTAGAGCCACAGCTGATACTGAGGTGGGTAATCGCAGGACCACATTTTAAATAATTCCACATTGGATTTGGTATCTACAGGCACTGAAAAAGAAAGGAAATGAGATGCCCAATTCAATTCAAATGTTGGCACCATTAGCAGCATGCAGGGTTTCATTTCTGTCTGGATCACCCAGGCTGAGGGCTCTATTGTGGCGGACTTTTTTGATTTTTCCAGTATGGAGGATGAATAATAATAAATTTTCAGAGGACAGTCATAGCTGAAGATGTTTCTTCCCATTCTCCAGGACCTGTTCCTCTGTGTTTAGATGGAGCACAGACCTATCCAGCTACCTTGAGAGTTTAGAGTTAAATCAGTCCTAACCATTTCAGACATAAGCACTTATGTTGTTTGGCTACTTTTTTTTTTTTTTCTCCCTATGCCTTGCTTCATTTCTTTTCTCACTCACCCTGTTATCTTCATGAACCATATATATCTGCATAATTGCAAATCTTCCTTGTCCTCTCTCCTGTCTGGTTCTGTCTAGGTTCTTATTACTAATCTGGCTGATTTTGATGGCCACTAATCCTTTCCTTCTCTTCCAGCCTCAGTGGAGGTGTTAGGGAGAGGGAGGAACTGTCTTCAGTGTTAATGGGAGTATGTTTACTGCTACTGTTGCAAATCTTAGTGCACCAGGATGGTCCCCAGCAAAAACTGGTAGTCATAAAAAATAATCCTGCTTTAGTAAAGCAAAGAAGCTTTCTCTTACCTCCCCAGCCATGCCAACCCAATAAACAAGGTAAATTAAACAGAAATGGAGCCTATTATTTTTATTTAATTAACTACCAAGAAGCTCTTCAGAAGGTGTGAGATGAGTTTTAGCTGAAATCTGTTTCCCCCACTCTTTCTAGAAAGCTAAGCATAGAATACTTTGATAGGTAGAGTAACCACACGCAGTTTCCTATTGTTAAATGTGAAGAAGAGTTTCAAATGTTCTGTGCCTCCTTCACCATAGATGACATGTTTCTACCATATCCATCCTGAAAATAGGAAATGGTACAAAAACTTTGTTTTGTTGTGTTCTTTGAAAGAGCACGGGCATTTAGTTTCATGGGGGGGAAGGGGGAATGAAACCAGCTGTAGAACCACAGTGTTCCTCACATCTGCCTGCTGTTTACTCATTTCAGCCTCAAATTATTTTTCTATCAGATTCTATCAGTGGGGTGGGCAGTAGTAGTATTTTCATCTGTGGTCCTATATATTACAGACTTTTCCTGTCCCTTTGTGATTGGGGGTTCTGAAGACCAGGAGAGCAGTGAGTGATGCAGACTTAACTTCTTCTGTGGCCAACCCATGGTGTCATCCAAAGGTAAACAGGAGCCCCCATTTTGTTTTTATTTGAAAGTGAGCATGACTGGATATTTTGCCTGTCTGAGATATTTTCATGTGAGAGAACATTCCAAAATTTTCAATGAGACATTCTTTTCTGACAATAATGATGAGGACAATGAAAGGACAGCTGTCTCTCTTGAGTGCTGAATTTTAGGATCTGTGGCATTGTTTTTACATATGTTATTCCTATAGCTCGTGTAGACCCTCTGTGGTAGATGTTTGTATGTCTAGGAATTGGTGCTCAATGACATTAACTAACTTATTCTAGGTCTATGAGTGAGTTTGTTTCTTTGAAAATCAGTCTCACCTATATTGTCAAAATGTTGAGTTTTAAAAATTTTGTTTCTGATTGTTTGTACCATCGGTAGTTTCTTTAAAAGCGTATATCATTGTGTTATTTTGTATCTAATTCTGATAATGCTGGGGTAGAGGGAAGAAAATGAAATAGAGACATGTGACATTCTGAGTCTGTGTCAGAAAATGAAATCATGGAAAAAGAGCTCCGTAGGAGGCATTAGTCACTAATGAAATTTAGAAACCACTGTGGCCACTCACCTCCAAGCTTAGACCAATTAAAAGGTTTACATTGAAAACTTTTTTTTTTTTTTTGCATAGCCTCTGAGGGCACTTTCTAGGCACAGAGCGGGGAAGAATCTCAGCAAGGCTTTCAGATATGGAATTTCTAAGGCATAAAATATTCACATCAATATTTATAAATATTTATACTATGTATATGTTGGATGATTTCTGTTGATGGTGAAAGTACTTGATCGCCTTCTCTTTCATATTGTTTTATGTATTCCCTTCTTCTGTGTGAGGATGACTGCTATCAAGCATTAGCCTCTGCTTTGCATCTATAAAACAGAAGGTGGAAGGAGTTAATTATCATAAGGGATGGACCAGTAGTGGGCTAATTTTGTTTACAAGTCCATGGTCAGTGAGTAATGGCTTGACCCCTGCCTCCTGAGAATCATGGGTGTCTATTGGTAAAGGATAATACTAGCTTGCTTTTCACAATTCATTGAAATTTCACTTGCTTACATTTCAATATCAGTCAATATTTTAACATCCTGACACTTTTAATCAAGGATTATCTTTCACTAGGGAGCTACAACAGGGCCCTAATTAATTAAAGTGATAATTGCTGCTCTCCCTCCCAGTTTGTTAGTTACATAACACACCTTCAGGAAATTCACTTAGCATTCCTCTTCAAAATTCTTCCATTTGGAAGAGGTGGGTTCTTTGGCCTCCATCTCTGTAAGAATTTACTAAAAATTCAAATTACTTGTACTTTCCAGCAATGATCTAAAAGGAGGTCATATTTATTTTCCAGCAAGTCCTAACAGTCAAACAACATGAAATGACATCGTTCTATCATTGAAGTGCTCGGAATGAATCCCAGGGTTGTTTTTTATGGAAGAGAGGTTGTGAAATGCCTTCCCTTTGATGCCCACTAGCTTTTTTTAGCTTCTTTATCACAATGCAAGTGCCCATGGTCCATGCCTCTTGGAGGATGATCATTCTTCCTTTTCTCAGTGCTCAGCTATTTAATTGATCTGGCTTCTCAGCTGCTTTTTTAGGGCATAAGATTTCTTCTCCTTTCCCCTCTTCTTTATCCCCATTATTTTAGCAGAAACTGACTCTAGAGTGTTGGCTCTAATTGGCAACTCTGCTCTCATCTCTTTTAATGGATATTTCTCCACTGCCTATACTTGGGCTCCTTTTGTTGTAAGATGAATTTTTCAGAAATAATTGATGGTGACTGTAAATCTAATAGCTGATCTACCCGAAGTTTAAGACTTGAAGATTGAAATCCTGTATCCTATAGCGACCAGATTTTCTAAAAGTCTTACTCCATTTACTTTTTTAAATTAAATTAGTCTGACTTATTCATTCTATGTGCAGCAAATATTTGTTTTTAAATTTATTTTCTCCCAAATACCCATATGATTCTTCTACTTTACTTTCCTAATATATTTGAAAATGAATCAGGCTGTTCAAATTCAAACTGCCTTTTTTTATTACTCTGTATAACTCCAGCAAGATGACTTTTCTTGCTGTACTAATTAAATTTTTAAATTAACCTTACTTTCAGAGCAGTTTTTGGTTCACTGCAAAATTGAGTAGAAAGTACAGAGAATCTCCCCATCTACTTCCTGTCCCATCTGCTGTCTCCATGCCACACCTGAGTGCTACACTTAGCACAGGAGATGAAGCTTTGATGGATCAGTCATCTGAAATTCATCATTTACAGTAAGGTTTATTCTTGATCATCATAGCCAAAGCTGTAATAACAACTATCTGCCATTGTAGTATCATAAAGAGTTTCATTGCCCTAAAATTCTTCTGTGCTCTTCCAATTTATTCCTGATCTTTACTTTTACAGCTCTTTATATTGTCTCCATAGGTCTGCCTTTTCCAGAATGTCACATGTTAATAGTTGGAATCATATATTTGGTAGCCTTTTTAGATTGGTTTCTTTGACCAAGTAATATGCATTTAAGGATTCTCTCGGTCTTTACTTGACTTGGTATTTTTAGTGCTGGATAATATTTCGTTGCATTTGTTTGTCTTTAGTATTTGAATTAAAGCAGTGAATGGTTCCCTTGTTCCTTGAAGATAAAATTTCACTGGGCTTCCCATCACCGAATCGCCTATGTGTCATCATCATAACTACTTTTATTTTAACTTTGAAATTTTTTACAAGTTTTTTTTTTTTTTCTGTAATCCAGGCAACAAAAATCTTTTACCTCTCTTTTGAAAGATTTAAATAGTTTATAGATTTGGCTACTCCTTGCTCTTTTGGGTCTCTAAAGTTCAAGGAAAGAAAGAAAGCATCACTGAGCTATTTCTTTGTAATTTCTCTTCCCCAATCGATCCTCCAAGTCTCAGCAGTCACGCTACTGATCGAGCCAAGTAAAAGAGTGGAAAACTTACCAAGATATTCCTACTAACTCCTAAACGGAAGACCATAAGTCTTAGTTCTTGCTACCAAGCACACCGCAGACAGAGCATTCTTGTTTCTATTTGAGAAGCAAGAGAAATCCTAAGAAGCTATTTAGAGCACCTCTGGGTCGTGCCCTTTTCTATATTTTCTGCCATTAGGGAAATTGATGCTGTTTGATACAGATTGGTCTGGTCACTCACCTATTTAAACATAGTCTTTGTACTACACAATGAATGCACCCACTTTTAAAACTTGACTCTTGATGTCTTTTCTGGGGCCCACACTTCGACTCACACACACAGCTCTATTTAACTCCTTAAACAACGAATTGTCATTGATATTCTCTGGTTTCATTAGAAGAGACATGCTCTCTAAGGACAGGATTCATATTTTTCTTTTTTTTCTTTTTCATTCTTCTTCTCAGCATTGAATCTTGTGCCTGCCTCTATTCCTGCCATATAGCAGAGTTCCATAAACGTTGATTTAATGATGATTTTATGCCACTAGTCTGCCAGAAGTCTGGTTTCTTTCTGTTGGCTTCACAATAGTAAGACGTCATTAGCTGAAAAAGCTCAAAGAAGGTAAAATATTTCTTTTCAGATAAATCTTCCCTTTTGTCAGATTTCCACTTCTTGAAACTAACATTTCATCTAGCCTGAGCAAAATTTTCTGTGGGGTACCTTTGTAGGCTTAGAATCATGTTACTGCTTTATTGAAGTTGTTCTAATTAAAATCTAACACATGAACATTTAAAGGATCCTAATTTGTATACTGTTGTATTAAACAGGTGGTCACAAATTTTAACCAGTACAGGTCGTACATAATTTAATAGAACCTCCACCCCCTCATCCCCCCCCACCCTTGCCACAGATGTAATTATACTGTCATTGGTGCTTTTTATTTGACTTCATCTACAAGAGATGATGGAAAACAATTACATCACGAACCTAAGTATCATTCTAGACAACGGGTCACACAATAACCTTGTTCTGATGCCTAGGGTGGTAGAGGTCATATATTTGTTGTTTTACTCATTCATCCAACAAACATTTGATGAGCACTTATGTTTGCATAACACTGTGCTTGTGCCTTCACTAAATACCTGCAGCTACACCGCACACACACACACCTGACCCTCTCTATCATCACCCATGAATGTTGTTGGGGAAGGAGAATGGTTGGGCTCGTAGGTTGTCTTTCCCATCATGCCCTATGACAGTACTGATGCAACATCCTCCAGTCTTGAGAGTATCAGCTTTCTTGCTTTCCAGAAACTTTGGAGATCTTATCTATTCATGTTGCTTCTTATTTACATGTAGCTAATTAGGATTTTTATTAATTCTTTTAGTATCTAGTTGGACCAGTATTTTGTCTTTTTTTTTTTTTTTAAAGAAAAAAAACCCACTTTATTCTATGTATTTATGCATGCAAGAACTGGAGTACAGGCCAGGGGTGCAGTGAGTGAGAGGATTCACTAGAGACAGAGCAGGGAGCATAACAGGAGGGTGTACTGAAATCCACTGCTGAGGGGAGAAGCAGAGTCAGGAGAGGTCGGCTGTGCCATGTGGGTCAGCTCCCTGGCTGGGATCAAACACATGCTGTAGTGGTTGGCAATAGCTTGATAGTGCTGAGACTTACTTAACCTTACCAGAGAGGCCTATATTTGGACCAGTATTTTTCAATAACGTTTAATGCTTATAAGAGATAAGATTCCATCTTTTGATTTTATATAGTAACAAAAAATAATAATAAGCAAAACCAAAGTTCATGGGCCTTTGTTTCCTGGAGATTTATGACAACTTAAAAAGCATAAAACAACATCAAAATCTACTTTTCTTCTGTTTCTGCATTTCATGAGCTTATTAGGAAGTTGTCCTACCTTCTGCCAAACTGCTAACAATTGATCATGTAGTATCTTTAGAGTTAAAAAAAGGAGACAAACTGCAAAGTTGTGTTTTAATGTCATCTCTCCTACATCTGTAAATGTGTTTTCCCTACAAGTTGTAGCTTACTTCATCTTGATAACTATA